TCTCGCATTACTTCTTCCCTGCAGGACACAGAGGCAACTACACATGAGTGAAAACGTGTCTTATAGCATATTATTGAATTACTGACTGTTGCCAGGAGGCAGAAGTTGACTGGGGAATGTGGGCAGGCTGTGGCAGCAGGCACACCAATGGCTGCTGGAAGGGCTGGGATGATGCGTTTATCACCGGTGCTCAGAGTCTCTTCTTCCCTTTTTTGCCTTTGTCCATTTCTCCATCTGCACCATGAATCACATCATAAATAAATAAACTGCCCTCAAATTAGAAATGAATCCCCAAAAGGTAGCCAGCAATGTAGAGTGCAAAAGTTTTATTTGAGAATTCTATTTGAAGGTACAGTCCTTCAGCTCCCTGCCAGAAATATTGCACGTGGGCAGCAGGCATGCAATGAACATTGCCCATCTCAGAGTGCAAGGAGGGGGAACGTGATGGTGTCTGAGGGGTTTGGCTGCTGGGGACCAAAAGACTCAGTGTTCATTAGCAACTCGCTCTCATCTATAGCTGAGATGTCTGAACAACCAATCAGTATTCATGTTTGTTAGCCAGCACCATTCAACCAAAGGACGAATGTAGTATTTCCACATTACTCCCTATAAGCTGTGAAAGACAGAAGAATATTACATTTCAGTATGTAAAAGACAATTTAACGCCATTCAGCAAGATGGTTTTTAATACAACATAAGGCAGTGTTACTTTCAAATTGACTTTAACTGTGGGTTTGCTATATTAACCCTTGAGCTTCAGAAGAAGAATAACCTGCAGCCTGCAGCAGAAATCTGCACATGACAGGCTGCTTTATGTGCTGTGCAGCCCCTAAGGAGAGGCAGAGCAACAGCAGCTGGCGGTACCCCAGCACCTCTCTTTCCAACCAATTAGAAACACAAGCCACAGAACTTTGCAGATGCGGAGCTGTCAGTGATCACATCTTGAAAATCACTGCGCTGCTTTCAGCTCCAAGCAGCCAGCTGAGCTCCTGCCTGAGTGAAAGCCTCCCTCCGAGAATACGCGAGGGTGGGTGGACGTGGTGTGGGCTGCTGTGTGACAGGGATACCTGCAGTACGTCAGAGACGGGAGGAGGAGGTACAACTTACAGACACTACAGCAATGCTAACAGCAAGTCAGTGAGCAGGAATTCCATTTACGTGGATGCTCCCTCTAATTGTTCCTTATGGTTTCCCACAAAGCAATAGTTTCTCTCTCCAGCAGATAAATTAGATGGTCTGTCAATCTGATTTTATAAGTCAATTCGTCTGTTCTTATGTGCCAAGGAGGTTTTTTAATGTGGGCTGTGACAGGAAGAAAAGAAGTCTCTCTAAGTGGCAAACACCTGTGTGGTCGGACCAGGCACTTGATTCCTGCACGACTCAGCTGTTGAGTTTTCAATTTTCCTCTTCTCCCCATCACCCCAGTAGGTGACAGCCACCATTCACAGCTTGCTATGGGCAGTGGAGCACTGCAGGCTCCTGGCGGAGCAGGGAACATGAGCAACGCGTGGCTCGGGGATGCAAATCTGCATTACATGGGCTAAAGTGTTATCTTAACTCCGAATGCTGGCAGCAAAGGAGAAATCACTGCCGGGGAGCGGGATGGTGGGACACAAAGCACAGCTGCTTGGTCTGTAGGGAGACCTCAGCCCCAAGGAATCTCTCCTGCAGACTCCCATGCACTGCAGTGGTCGGGAGCTGCTCCTGCCTGCCCCAACCACTATTTCAGGGCAATGGAACAGAACGGGCACTGGCACAGCTGCGGGGCTGGCAGGGAACAGTGAAGGCCTCGGGAGCACTGGGAAACGGGCCTCAGGGCAGCACAGGGACATGCACAGATCTGGGGTTACTGCCGAGCTCTGAAATTCTGAATCAAACCCAGAGCTGGCTGCGGTGTTATGCTTGGCATAAAACCCAGCCCTCATCCCTCCAGTACTCCTGCTTGGGTCTCACCCAAAGCCAGGCAGATCAGAGGCATTGCTCTCCCAGTCGCAGTGCAGGAGGCAATAGCTGAAGGAGATGGGCATTGGTTTTGGTCTGTGAGAGGGCAGAGCTGTGTCCTGCAAGCGCAGAGAGCCATCCCCTGCTGCACCCTCCTGAGTTCTGTTCACCATTTCCCAGCTATTTCTTCTGGGAGTGTCCCTGTGAGAAATCTGGCTTCTTCTCCCTCTCCTTTCTCAGCCTGAGGATGGACAAGGCTGCTGGTTTCATAGCAGTGCAAGTGGACAGACAGCCCTGGTACTGACCCAGCTGTGTTCCCACCTGCCAGGGCTTGATCTGCACCTGAGAACATTCCCATGTACTCCTTCAAACAGACTCAGGTTTGTACTCCTTCAAACAGACTCAGAAAACTGCTGTTTTCTACCTGGAGAGCTAACTGCTAATAGTTCTGCTCTGCTTTTCCTTCCTGAGCTAATCTTATGACTCACTGTGCATTTCTTTCTGCCTTGCTTTACTAATCTGCTTGGCATTCGGCGGTTTCTTTGTTCATTGTGCAGCAAGGCCGTGTAAGGGATTTGTCTCTGGAATTCAGGTATCCTCCATGCTGTGCTGTTATCGCCTCCATCAGCAGCTCTGCTGTAGGCAGTTGGATGCATCTGGCATGAGCTAACTCAAGAAACGCAGGGCTGTGAATCACTCAGACATCGCTGCTGGATCTCTGCACGCTGCCTGCGCTCAGGCAGTTTCTGTGCAGCAGATTTCTATAAGGTGGTTCCCACCCACACACAGCGTCTGAAGGCGAAGCAATGACTGCAGCACATCAGCATCCATTTACCTGCTGCGCTGGCTCTGACCTTGACTGGTTTTAGCCACTGCAGGAGTATTGTTGCCTGTCGCAGTCCTCAGCCAGGAGAGCCCTCCGAGTTCTGCTGCCCTCCAATTGTTGCCACAAGCCCTGTGCCTGCAGCACAGCAGATGTGACCTTCAGCCAAATAACTCTGCTCAGCTTCCTTCATATAATAGAGTCATAGAATGGCATGGGTTGAAAAGGTCCACAGTGATCATCTAGTTTCAGTCCCCCCTGCCACGTGCAAGCTGACCAGACCAAGCTGCCATGCATCCCCTCCTCTTCTTCATGCCCTTTGTCATGCTGGGGCATCCTCAGGTGATACAGGGCCTCTGGGCAACGGGCTGCAAGGCTCTGAATTTCAATCAGGCAGTGATAGTCACCAGCCCAGATAGCAAAGTCCTTACAGAGCTGCAGTACAGTCAGCTCCTACATTGTGCCCATTTAGGGGAGAAATGCTCAGCAATACAGACGCGTTACAATTTACAGATCTAGGGAAAAAGGCTCAGTTACTCCTCACAGCAAGAGACAGCCATGTGCGTGGCAGGGGACTGGCAGGAGACCAAGGCATGAGCTGAGACCTGCTGCTTGGACCGAGATCTTCAATTCCTCCAGAGAAAGATCACAAAGCCATTTAAAGAAAGGAAAGACAAAAAAGAACACTAATAAATCTCACAGATGGTCTCAGCTTCAGATCTTTCTAAGAGACTTCTGATGCCTGCATGGCTGACAGCAGTGCCAGCACCAGGCGGGGCTCTGAGGGGGCTCTGTCCGAGGGACTGCAGTCTCAGTGCTGAATGTCCAATACTGAAATCCTCTGCCCATCCACCCTGCAAAACAGCCTCGGGGTGGTATCCAGTCCCAGGGTCAGCTCATACTCCAGAATTAGTCTGCAGCACAGCAGCTTTCATTTCAGAATTACAGCGAGAGCCATAGCTTAATATTTCTCATGAAATGATCAGAGTTCCTACTGTTGCCATGGTTATTTCATCGAAGCCTGAGCTAGAACAACGTTGAAAGAAAAAGACAGAGCTCATCTTCTCACTGTGCACACAGTGCTTTATGCACACTGGGATCAAGTTGGACATTTAGATTTGGTTTAAGGGACCTCTGCCTTGGGGCAGCACATTTCTGTGGGATTTCTTTGACCCTTCAGACTACGTGAAGCAGCACGTAACAAACATCAGCCCATCAGCAGCAGCAGCCTGTGGGTGTATGTCTGAAATTCCTGCCTTGAGGAGCACAGGGTTGGAGCAGCCTTATGCTCTCACAGTGCTCTGCAGGTGTCTGGGTCCCCCCGCCATATAGCCATGCTTTTTAAGCTCTCTGTGACCAGAACAAAAGGCAGCTTGTTTTGCTGCACGCTGGCCCAGCACCATCTCCAGGTGGGACCCAGCACCAAGCTGGCTCTGCCAGTGCCCTTGATGGCTGCAGGCTGCATTGGGAGCCATGCATGAGCCAGTGCCAGTATGCCATTCCCATTCCAGCTCCTGTGCTGCTACAGAATGCTTCTGGGGACAGGATGTAGCTTTCCATTTTTGATTGTTTCTTTGGGAAACATTAGCTTTTGTGGGTATTTTTGGCCAGGACAATATAAATAGCCCATAAGAGATGTGCTCCTCCAGGTTGAAATTCCAGGTGAATGCCAAACTGCAATCCATAGGTGATGCCAATGGGTATCAGAATCAGCTGAACAGCCATGAGCAGCAAACAACTCTGTGGGTCACTGAGCCCTTGCCTGCTCATTACCCAATGAAGGCTGTTCTCAAGGTTCACTTAGCACCACTGCTACAGCACTAGGCACTGGGTACCTTTTCTTTTGCTTATCATCTGATCTGAACCCCCTTACCTATTGACAAATAGGGAGTAAACCTTGTTTTCTCAAGGGCTCCTGTAAGAACATACTGGAGAAGCTTAGCAGCAGCCTTCTACAGCTGAGCAACCCCTCACCCAAGCACAATCTGGAAATGTGCAGGCAGAAATGGCTCCTGCAGCTCCCATGCAGCTTCTGAGGAGCAGTGCGATGGGAAGGGGCATCATGGCCAGGCAGGAGCACTGCTTCTCAGTGCTTCTGTTCCACACTGCAAGCAAAGTCACACAGCAAATCTGGTTTCTGTCTGCTTTGATATCCTTTGTCTCTCTGTATTTTTTTCCTCTCTTTCCTTTATTGTCTTCTTTTCTCCATTTGCCTCCCAAGTACAGCTAAATCAAGCTATTCTTCTCAAAACTGTAGAAAGCCTCCCCTTTAACTGTGATTCAATTCAGTTGCCTCAATGAATCTCTTCCACAACAATTAGTAATTATCTAGAATTATTTAATTCTCCAGTTGGTGAATGCTACAGCCCTGATGAATTATTTTGTGGCCTTTAATTCAGTGCCTGTAGGTTTGTTTGCAACGTAATTTAACAGAAATTAAAATAAATTCTCAGTGAACCAAATGACATGAGGTCTGACAGAGATGGAGCTCTACAGCCCCAATACAGTGCTCTGCTCCACCAGCACACAGCCTGGGCTGGGACCAGGGCAAGAGGAGCAGTAGGACTCAGTGTGACACCCACCGCTGACTTCCCCTTACCCTGCTGTAACGCTATAATGCAATCTTAGCAGGGTAGCAAAGACTTTGTTTGCAGCAAGCTAGGATAAGCCCAAGTGCAGCAGCCCTGGATGCAGAATCTACAGAAAAAAAGCTGTTTACCTTTACAAGGCCTCAAGTACACAGGGATCTCCAGAGAGATACCCTCACCTCCACTGCTAGCCCTTAAATGATGTCTGGGCAGGAGTGGATCCTGGATCCATCCATTCCACCACTCAGTGGCACTGTTTGACTTGAGCTCCCCCGGTTGGCCCTGCCTTCCCAGCAGGTGCTGCATCACTTCTTCAAGCCCTGAGTTAGCATTTCTGCTACACCTGCACTCAGCTGGGAGGCTTTAGTATGAATTACATGGGGGAATCCCTGCAGATAAGGTTCACCTGGCTACAAGGGTCCTTCTTTCAGACGCGTGCCAAACTCCGTCCATTGCCACCCTTGCTCACAGGTCAGTGTTGGCTGTCGGGATGAGCACAGCGGAGCAAACGCTGTTTGATGAGGGCCCCTTCGTGCACCCAGCTCGCTCCCCCCAGGCCTCGCGGCAGGACGCGGCCAGGGGCAGCTGCACGGCGCTGCGCGGCTGAGCTGTGTGCTGGCACATGCACAGCAGGGCTCTGAGCTCCGCACGGAAGCTCTCATTCAGCCAGCAGTAAATGAAGGGATTGTAGCAGGTGCTGCTCATAGCAAACCAGTGCAGGGCAAAGTAGAGCGAGTTGTTGGTCTTGATGCCCAGGCTGGAGATGAGCACCACGTAGCAGTTGAGCGGAAACCAGCAGACAGCGAAGACCACCACAACCAGCACCAGCATCTTGATGCTCTTCTTCTTGTTCCTGTGGTGGGCGACGTGCTGCTGCGTGGTGACGTCACCGATGGCATTGCGCAGCCACAGCTTCTTGGCCAGGCGCGTGTAGGTGGCGGTGATGATGAGCAGCGGCAGCAGGTAGAGGAGCAGGAAGGTGGACAGGTCCAGGTACTTCCAGACCAGCTCTGCAGGCTCAGGGAAATCCGGGAGGCACAGACTCCGCACGGTGGCTTCCCTTGAAAACAAGGAGGTGTGTGTGTAGCACGTGGCCGTGCGGATGGGCGCCGCTCATTTGGCAAAACGTGCTGAGGTTTTTGCAGCCCCACTGACACAGCCTGTGTGGTGCCAACAGGGAAGGGGCAGATATTGCTCACCTCAACTGATAAAGGTCGATCAGAGCTGTTTCCCTGAAAACCCTCTCCTTGTGCCCATCACCCTGAGGCTTATGCTCATTTCTGCATGCTTTTGCTGCCTTCTGCCCTACGTTATTCTGCTGTCCCAAAAAAAGAGAACCTGAGAAAGACAGTACAGAGCTCCCCCTCGGAAGCTGCAGCAGATTTTAATTCAGTGAGGCCCTCACATCCTCTTAGAATGACAAAAAGTTGCTCCTGAGGGCTTTTTTTTTTTTTTTTTTTTTTTTTTTAAACTTAAACTCTGTTTTAACTTCTGGTGACTAGATAAGACAAAACAAGGATGTTCATATCTGACAGATTAATTAAATACAACTCATCCATTCAATTCAGCACAACTCTGTTGGCACTTCTCACTGCACCTCCACACCACAGAGAACAGGAACACTGAGTGTTCCTGCAGACATCGAAAACAAAAATGCATTAAGAGAAAGGGACGCTCACAGATCTATTTCCTGGTGATGTTTTCTCCTTTCCTTGTGTCCCTGCCTCTTTCCTCTTGTTCCACTTTGCCCTTTTCAAACCTTGTCCTCTGTCCACTTGTCTCCATCAAGCTGCACTATTTGCTGCAGTATTGATTAATACCTGTAATATCATGTTCTCAGCTTTCGGAGTTGGCTTTTGTGCCACAAATAGAAGGTTAACTGGAAATGGGCAGCACTGAAGGTGTGTGCAAGGCAGGGCAAGGCAGGGCACAGCAAACTGAGAACATGAGGACGTGGAGGACATGGAGGACCCAAGGCCACTCAGCAGGACACGCAGCCACACATGGGCAGCACGGAGAGGCCACATGCCCACCGTGGCTCTGGGCACAGCTCTGAGCACGGCTGCATCCTGGCTCCTGGCTAACATCCCAGGGAAGCAGCTCCTGCTGCTGTCAGCTCCCAGCCAGGGGATCTATTGCTGGTGACATTACCACCAGCATTTTTACTGAATGGAAAACAGCGATGAAAATAACGTGTCCTGGAAGTCCTTATATTGCCAACTGCCCCATGCCAGCCTGAGGCTGGGTTTCCTCTAGGCACACCGAAGGATGAGCACTGACAGGTGCAGTGAAAGAGATAGTGGCATTTGTTCATTCATAAGCAATTTGTTGGGTAACAGCCTGAGCGCAGCTGCAGAGCAGTGCGGGCACTGGAGTAACCCAGCACTCTGTTTACAAAGCCTGAGAGCTGAAGATCTCATATCCCCCGCAAGACACCTCTTGGGCACATAAATCACAGCACGAGCAAGGAGGAGCTGTGGAAGCCCATGCTGCACTCCCGTTTGTGTAACCCATCCACAACCTCTATAAAAAGCCATGCAAGGAGGTGAATGGGCCCCTACAGTGCTGATAGGAATGGCTGTGCTGCAGGAAGACATTCCAAGCCATGAGTGCCCTCAGCAGACAGCACGCAGAGGGGAAGATAAGAGTTTGGTTTTTGTTTCTTTACTTTCTTCCAGTACCTCAGAAGACTTCAGGTGGGTTTGAAGTTCCACCTCCCCTCCTCTCAATAAGTTTTCATTGTGTTCAGCCCAGCAAGGAGCTCCCCGTGCTGTCAGGCAAGCGCAGCAGCACAACTCAGACCTGCCACCCCTGCTGCAGCACTGCTCTGCTCATCAGCCCTGCACTGCAAGAAAAGAAGTAGTGTTTCTCTTCTGCTTCTCCAGCTAATGTAACACCGTGCAGAGCAGCCTCCTGCTTTGAGGAAGGTTCCCCTGCTGCACAAATCCAGAGATAAACACTGAGGAGCCACAATGCATGAATCAGCACATGAAGTTGGGGCTCAGGCCTGGCTGACTCAGAGGCACTCCTACCCCTCCCTGCCTTTCCTGCTCTATACAAGTGCAGATGTACTGCAGATGTTTACACATGCGGTTCACTTTCTCTTCCAAACCACAGCACCTGCTCTCTGTTTCCTCCCTGCCTGCGCATGGGGCCACACAGACACTGTCCTTCTGGGACTACAGAGCTGACTGTGTGCTAAGGGACGAGAAATGGACCCTGGGGGAAGCCAGCCTCTGGGAGACAAACCCACCAGGCACAGAGAACCAGTGAGCGCCCCACGGTGCGCCTATGCCTGGGTGAGGGGCTCAGACTGGCCTCCTCCTGGGAAAAGATGAAAACAAAGCCAGGTTCCACGCTCCTGTGCGCCAAGAGGCTCTTCACTGCAGGCAAGCCTCTGCCATAGGAAATGAGATTTCATTGACACACAGAAATTCCACGGATGGCATCGAGTGCCGCAATGTCTCCCCACAGCTGGGACTCCTCCACCCCCACACTAAGAGCAGAAAGCTCACCTGTAGTTGTACTGGAAGAGCTTCTGGTAGATGGCATGGGGCAGGGAGAAGCAGGCAGCCAGCAGCCAGATCACAGCGATGCTCAGTGCTCCTTTTGTCAGAGACATCCTTTGCTTGAGTGGGTTCAGAATGACCTATAACACAGACTGCACAAGGCTCTTGTGCAAAGTCCTTCCACCAACGCACACATATATAACACATATGTATATATATATGATTTAATGCTATTTAGAAAATAACAGCCATGATTAGGGGAAAGTCCTGCATATCAGAGTGACCTAGAAAATGGGAAACAGTTAATTTCTCAACCTGCTCAGAAGTGCTTTCAGATAAACTTTTTCCTCTATTTCTTTTCTGGGAGAATCATTTTCTTTAAATTTTGTAAAAATAAGTGGAAAAAAATAATCCTGTGCAAATTTCTTCACTTCTGGGTACGTCCTTCCATTCAGTATAAATTATGTAATGAAGCGTGGTTTGTTTGAGCTGAGCCCTCTGCCCATCTGGAGACATTAGCTTAGCCTTCATGAAGCTTCCTGAGTTAGATGAAAAGATTTCAGGAGCTTATAGAAGCTCAGCATGTGAAAAATTCTGTTTTGGTAGAGGAAAGAAGAGCAAGTGCCTGATAGAAGAGCACAGCCTGGTCTACCTTCTCCTTCCTGCTCTCGCAATACATGGAGCGCTCAGTGCAGCAGGCAGGTAATGCAGTCTGGCAGCAGGCAGTGATGAGCAATGTCTTCTCACAGCTCCAACATGCCCCCCAGTATTCCCACAGCAGCCCCTCACCCTGCTGCTCCCCTTCATGCTGCTCCAGCATCAGTCCTGCAGTTACACTTCACCAACTGGGATTGCTTTTTACTGATGCAGAGAGCTGAGAACCTCTGCCACCTCAAAGCACCCTGCAGCTCAGTGGTGCAGCAAACAGCCAGTGCTGTTTGAGAACACAACAAGCAGGCAATCAGGTCAGAATTTAAGGTCAGGATGTTAGATGTGTTTTACCTGTTTGACTTAGAAAGCTGAAAAGCTTGAAAATATCCCCTGCATAGCTGAACCACTGCTTTGCTTTTGGCAGTGGCTCTGCTGCCTTTCAAGACCCCCACTGCAAACAAAACCCATGCACACCTATCAGCCATGCCATGGCAGCTTGCTTTAACCACCACAAACATAAAGCTCAGCTGGCATCGAAGGGGCTTGGGAGGAGCTGTGCAAGAAGGTGTGGGAGAGCAGGGCCTCACCTGGTGCCTGTCCAGGGCGATGGCTGTCAGGGTGAGCGTGGAGACGTGCAGCGAGCAGTACTGCACGAAGCGGCTGACGTGGCACATCGCCTTCCCAAAGATCCAGGTGCTGTTCACAAACCGAACCTGAGGAGAAAACAAAAGCCATCAGCAACCAAACTCCCAGGGAACACCTTGGGCTGCACCTGACCTTGCTGCTGCCCTTTGGCTGCTGGGCAGCTCACACAAAATCCACGAAGCAGCAATGTGGGATGTTGAAGCACCCTTACATAAGAGCTTATAAGTTAAAATACTGAGTTGAAATGAGTGGTGCTGTTGCAGCCCACCCAGCTTATCCATATAAATAGCATCTACAAACAGCAGTAATTACATCTTTATTATACCAATAATTACATTTGGACAAAGTGGCCGTGCCCTGCTCCTCTGCCACTCCCTGCACATCTGGAGGGCTTTCACTGAAGTCTTTACCTAGCTGCTCACTGTGAGGGACTTGGCTGTTTTTCCCCCAAGCTACGACCAGCAGCCACATTGCTCTGAACCCTTGGATTTAAAGTTTGACTTTGCAGTCCTGCTGCATGCATGTTATCGGTTCTGACAAACCCAGACATCCACTCTGCAATCCCCAAGCAGCTCTCCTGACCTGCGGCAGTTTGTCAGCACACCTAGAGAGACTTCAGAGTCCTTTAGGAAACAGAGTCCAACAGAGCCAAGGGAGCCCACAGTTTGCTGGACGTTGCTTTACCTGTGCAGCAGAGCCATCCATTAGGCTTGGCTGCGTTGGGTTCACACCTCAGTTCTAGCACAGCAACCACCGGACTGCATATTTCTGGGGCGAGTGCCCCCGGCCAACAGGACTGCCCTGCGTGCCACCTACCAGAGTGAAGGGCGTGTTGAGCAGTGTGATCATGATGTCAGACACAGCCAGGTTGACGATGAACAGGCTGGTGGCCGAGTGCATCCTCTTGTTCTTCAGCACCACATGGCACACCAGCACGTTCCCAAAGAGAGACACGATGATAATCACTGAGTACACCACGATCAGGAGAGCCTTCACAGTTGGTTTCTGGGATTCTGGCTCGTATCGAGCCAGCTCCGCAAACTTCTCCCACTCCACAATGCAGCTGTCTGTCCAGTTGAAGGCGGTCCTGTTGGTTGCTTGGTAGATGGACATGAGTTTGGTCAAGGAATAGTAACGGTCAAACTCCTCAAGATAAGCTGCTATCTGTGCCTGGTGGGATGGAAGCAGCACGTGAGGCATGGTGGGTGAACCCAGGTCGTTGCTCAGCAGGGCATCACCGGGCTGCCGACACAGCAGTGGCCCACCAGCCACACCTGCTCAGCTCTCTGGGAAGCTGGTGAAGATGCAGCTGGCACCGCGAGCAATGCCTGTAGGTGCACAGCCTCAAAGGTGCAATGGGCTCCCAGGGAGCAGCACCAGGGAGAACTTACAGCAGAGGCCTCTGCACAGGGCTGGTTTGGGACTGTGCACTCCCAACTCCTCTGCATACCAGGAGCTGCAATAACTCCACAGGTGGGCTGGAGAGATTAACTCATTATTACACAGAGCACGTGTAGGAATGGGCATTTGTCAGGTTGTTTTTATTCGTTCTCAGGTGAGTGCACTTTTCCTCCAACTTTCAGGGAAGGATGTTCTGGTGCTGCTCTCATCCCATACTTCAGAACAGTTGTTTCTTTTCTGCTGAAAGATTAAACAAGTTCATTTAGGGTGTCATTTTTGAGATCACAGCTAGCTGTTGTATGCACCTAACCCCAGCAAGTACCCTGGAGTTGTTCAGAACTTGAAAAATCACATCAGAAGTTAACTTCAGTCTATCTCATACTTAAAAAAAAAACCACAAAAATAGCTAAATTCTGTTCAGTTTCATTTCCAGGGAGAAAGCAATCTGCCCAGCAAAGGCAACACTCAGCAGTAAAGAGGTACACAGGTCAAAAAACACCCTCAGAGCATATACAAACCAGCACAAAGCATCAGAAAACTCATCAGGCATAAAAATCACTACTTTCTCACCTCTCAACCTCCTTTTCTCGTTTTTAGGTATTTCTGGTGATTTCAGATTGATCTGTTGTTGTTAGGAACTTAAGAAGCACTCACACCATTACATCCAGCTATGCAGCACACAGGAGGAGAAAGTTGTTTGGAAAGCATCAGGATTTCAGCAAGGAGATGCCTTGTTTTTGTGCCCCATGGCTGTGTACACAAATAGTGATCTCGTATGGAGGGCAGGATTAAGAAGCAGCATTCTCGGAGCTGCAGAAACTCACCAAGATGTCAGGAGGCCGCAATGCTCACCCAGCAATGCGAGCACCCAGAACTGCACCCACCTGGGTGGATGCCCACCGGGGTGCTGAAAGGCCCACAGTGAGGACCCTGTGCTATCACACCAAGGAGCTGAGCCAGCCCAAAATCAAACAAGTGGTGTTCCCAGCTACTGACCTGGCCGACCTCATGGCTTATTTCTCTCAAGAGAGGCTCAGGAACAGGAGAGCTTAAGGAGATGATGGAGCTGTGACCTGATTTTCCAGCATGGAACTCCTTAAGAATTTCTGTATCAGTCAAACATGAAGCAATTGTTGGAGCGCGGCACTGGCTGCAGCCTCAAGCAGAGCAAAGGTGCAGCAGGGACAGCATCCTGCTCTCCTGAGGAGGTGCATGCACTCTGCACCACAGTTTAATACAACAAGCGTTCAGCTTTATAACTCCAAGTAACCCGAAGGATCAGAGAGGGAAATTCCACCCAGCTCAGCCTTCCCCCGCCCTTCTGCCGCGGGTGCCTGCAGGCGGCCGCAGCACCCACGGCTCCAGCTCAGCCCTTTCTGTTGCAGAAGCGCTCACCTTTCATCACAAAGAATTTAAAGGCACCTCAGCGACAACCGTCTGTACGACCTGAACTCTAAACACAAAGCAACGCTTCACCCCCCGAACCGAGCAAGCCTCTAGGGAAGAGCACGCAGGGCGCAAAGCGCGAGTTAAACGCGGTTTCCCAACAGACTCCAAATAACAGAGGGAGAAAAACTCCCCGCCCCTTACCGGCTGTGCCGCCGCCGGCAGCTCCGGCTCGGACCCCTTGGGGCTCGAAGCTCCGCCGGACCCGCGCAGCGCGGAGCCGCCGCGCCCCACACGTGCAGCCCGGGTGCAGCTCCGCGCCCCGCTGCGCTCCTCTGGCTTTAGCGGAGATCGGCGCTCGGAGGCAGAGCCCGACGGCGCGCTCCGTGCCGGACTGTCGGAGCGGTCGGAGCACGGCGGGGAGCGCGATTCGTCCGCAGGTGTGCGTGAGGTTCATGAGAAAGCAGCGCCGCGGCTCCGGGAGCGCCCTCATGTATCGCCGCGCCGTCGGTGCGCACGTGCTTCGCGGGCAGGTCAGGCAGAGTGAAGCTTCCCGCACGGAGCGCTGTGGGAACGCTCCGCTGCGGCTCCCGCGCAGAAGGGGAGAGCGTTGCTCGCTCAGAATGTTGTGCCTCCTATTGCTACAGTCAGAAAGGTTAACGTGGTGGAACGGTGATACAGGAGTGAAACAGCAAAAGGGATTAACGCGGATGGGACGGTGTTACAAAGGGAAAGCGCTCACCCGTCTCCAAAAATCTCGGCTCACGAGGAAACTCTACAAGAGGGAATCTCCACCCAGAGATCCTTCCCCGGTGGGGGTCACCCCTTCCATGAGGTCTGTGAGAGGTGCAGCCAGGCTCCACCCTTCCTGTCACACAGCTGAATCTCCTTCACCTGCGCTCCCAGGGCTGGCCGGGTCCTTCCCCCAGGCGATCCACCAGTGGTTCAGACCCGAACTCAACAGTTCCCATACACCTACCTACGTCCATGGAAACTCCAACGAATACAAAAGTGCAATAACACTATTTGAGAAAGTTCTCAGTTGCAAAATACTGTTTTTCAACTTAGTCACCACCGTTAAGTGTGTGTTTTCACCAGCAGTGAGCAAGAGCTGCATAACATGCTTATAAATATCTGCACCAGTGGAGGTGAGCTGCTGTCACCTGCTGAAATGCACCACCCGCTCCTCGCTGTGCTCACATGCACTGTTTGGTCTCTGTAAATGCTCAGCAAGATGAATGGCAATTGGTGCCATCTTTTCTGCATAGAAAAATTCCGTGCCGACCATTTGCTCCGTATGTACTTCTATGTCAGACACCGTTTTGTCAGACCACCTTTCTGCTGCCATGGATCACACAGCAACAAAATGTGATGGAATATCGATGGGAAGGTTCAGCTTCTGCTGCCAAATCTCACCAGCGTCCACCTCTGACCAACATAATAACACAGGAGCCATTTCTTTTGTAGCAGCCCTCATGGTCCACAAACTTCATTCTCTCATTGTAAGAGGGTGGAATAGAGCAGACAGGATGCTCAGTGCATGCAGTGAAATTGTCACATCTCTTTGGATACGGGCTGTTCGCCAGTTCTTGTGAAAAAAAAAGAACAGGATTCTTTTCTTCTAGTTCTGAGACATTTGGATGATCTCAAAAGTCATCAGCAGGAGCAGGAAGGACACGTTGGCCACCCATCCATGTGGGCTGCCCACACACACAACCCTGATGCAGAGGATGGAAGTCTGATCTCCACAGATTAATTCCCAGAACAGCAGGTGAAGGAAGTCAGTGCCTATGGCACCTTTCTGATGGGGCAGTGCTGCGAAGGCCGGCTGGAGGCTCAGTGGAGATCTCTGCATTTCATGGGGCTCTGGATCCTCCCAGGTGCGTAGAGCCCTGCGGCGCCCTGTGGGCACGGAGCCCTGCAGCATCCCTGGGCACACAGCATCTGCATGTATGGGTAATGCAATTAACAGAGAACAAAAATCACAGCAAGCACAACAATCTCCAAGCTTGAAATCTTGAAGTGGGGCTTTTAGTGGAATTTCAGCCCTGATGGATTCTTCTTAAATAAGCACTCTTCCCGGGCCTGAATCCTTCTTGGCAGATGCAGACACAGCCTCACAAGAAACAAAGGTGATTTTGGTCTCAGACACAGATATTGGAAGATACGTGTTTGAACTGGAGATGGTAGTCATTTCAATTTCCACCATGTGCAGCTCACACCTTATTAAAAAGAAGAAAGGTTTTGGATTCTGTCCTCCTCCCATCTCCTCTGTGGCTGTGGCTCTGTCTGCAGCCACTTTCCCTCTGCACAGGGGAACCCAGCCCATGTCTCCTTCCCAGAGTGGGGTGTCCTGAGTTACCGTGTGGTTGGAGTTGGCCACAGCCACATAACCTCTCTCAAAGCACGCAGACAGCGATGAACCTTTTCACAATTGCACACTTCTGCAGTTCAGGCACCTGGTGCAGCTGGTGCTGCGTCTGCCAGAGGCTTTTGGAGAAACCAGTGAAAATCTTTGCAAATAATAATAAATAGCAGAGGCACTGCTCTGAAATGGGAATCCTCCCCATCGGAGGGAAGAGACAGCCTTGGGATGGATGTTTCCTGGGGTCTAAGTGCTGCCCACCCCAAATCTGTGACAAACCTCCAGTTGCTCTCAGCAGGAGAGGAGTGAAGTTTGTACTTACTGTACCTTCTTGCCTGAGGCACGTAAGGACATTCTGCACAAGTGATCTTGTAGGTCTCTTTTTCTTTTTTTTCCTCTGAAGCCATTTCCATCTGGACTATGAGATTCCTTGCATCTGAAGAGCCATTGCCTTATTCTGTCTATAAGCCTGTGTGTGCTTCCTGTCTTGCCCAATGTGGTGTTGGCTTTATACTGCCAGCACATTCAGAAATTAGAGCAGTGAGCTTAATCAGATCCTCAGCAGGATCTCAGAAACATTATCTTTCTTCAGATGCAAAGGATTTATTTGCAGGTATGCATTAGAACCTCCTGAAACATTCAGAATGAAACTCAGTGCAGTCCCATCCCTGCATCCTATCTTCCTTTCACAGTAATCCCCACTGACCCTCAGCTGTGTTTAGTTCCTGCATGCAGACAGGTGAGCAGAGATGGAGGGCAGCCCACTGTGCTGAAATCAGCTGAAATCAGGCTGTTTTAACACAACTCACATCAACAACAAGTGCTGTGCCGTGGCTTCCAGGCTCCCACCTGGCAGATGTGCAGCAGATCTGGGTGCTGCCCACTGTGCCTGCATGGCAGTTCCCCCACATCCATCCCTCACCTGTCCAGGTGTGCTGGGAGAGCAGCGCCTGAGCTGTGGAAGAAAATTGTTCAGGGTTTTCTGTGTTGATTTCCTTCAGCAAAATGCAAGTTGCCCACATGTCTGGGGAGGCTTTGCAGCTGAAGATGTTAAAGGCATTCAGTATTTTTCCTTTGGGTGTCTTTCTGCTAAATGCCAGAAGGTTAATTTGTCTCCTGAAGGGTTGGGAGCTCTCTGGAGAAATGCAGAGATGATGCTCAGACATGAAACCAGAGGCATTGTAAGTTCAGAGCCACAAGAAAGCTCCTTTGCTCTCAGATATTGATATTTATTGCCATCATTATGTTTTGAGGTACAGAAGGTGAAGCCGATGCCCTGCAATACCTTCTGCCATGCATGGCACCCACAGGCACAGCTCAGTGTGTGCAGCTGCTCACCTTTCCCTCATGTGATGCGTGTAAAGCCAGCTCGAGTGCACACAGGGCAGCCAAGGTCTGAATTCATGACTTCTGAACTGCACCAGGCTGCTCCCATCAGCCCCGTGCCCTCAGAGCTCAGCTCTCTGCCACGGCTGTGAGCCTCCCTCCATAGAGCTGAGTGGAGCTGTGCCAACCTGGGCTAAAGATAAGGATACTATGGGATTAGGCAGTGGTGAGACAGGTTAGTTTTACCCTACTGGTGAGGTGCTGCTGCTCTAGTAATGCACATCATAAGCCAGTGGGTGGAGGGATAAGATCCATAAGAATGGCTTCAATGGCAGGAACAAGAAGAAGACAACAGAGCAATTGCAATTGCGTTTTGCAATTTTTTTGTCCTTTTTATCCGTTACAATCACACGGACTGCCATCAGCTGTGCACTCCGTCCCCACCTGACAGCTGGCCGCACGGTTTCCATGCAGAATGAAGGCAGCAGAGAGCAATGAGAGCAGCAACTCCTGCCGGCACCTTTGTGCCCGTGGCAGCTGAGGGCACAGCAGCACACCGCAGCCCTGGCGATGGGAGGAGCAGAGCCCGGCGCTTCTGACGTTTTCTTTTGCAGTGGTAAAGCTGCGGCTCCCGCAGCCTCCAAGCCTTTCACAGCCCTGATTGAGTCCTTCCTCCTAACAGGTGTTGGAATACAGGACGGAAAAAGAAACCAAATCCACTTTTCCTTAACAGAAAACTCACTGCTAACAGAAATGGAAAAGGTCAGCGAATACATTTACTTCTTCATCTGCAGGAACACATTTTACTTTTTGGTGCACAGTGTGTGAAAATGCAGTAACATAAGTGAGAAACACCCGAGTCCATTGTGAGACCACGCAGCAGCACTGAGCAGCACACTTCTTCCTGCACCCACACGGAGCCCTGCTGCCTTGGTGGAAGGCTCAGAGCTCATTCCCCATTCAGTCCTGAGCACAAGCCCTGAACACAAGTCTGCCTGCATGCACCCTGCTGGTCCGAGCCTGCAGAGCTGCAGCTGTGCAGGAAAACTTTGTTAAGGGGATCCGACCGTCTGGATCTCCTCCTGCCCCCCAGGGCTCCTCCTGGGTTAATCTGAGCATGCAGGTCTTGTCCAGCCCAGAGCTCAGGTCCCACCCATTCTCCTTCCAGTTTTCATCCCTGCCCCAGCTGAACCTGTTAGGAAACGTAACACAAATAAAGTCCCCTTTGCTTTTCTCTCTCCCATCTGACGCATTTAATATCAAGTGGCCCTGGGATCAGGTGGATTCATCTTTCAAGCATATTTTCTTTTTTATGACTATGCTGAGCCTGGAATTTAAATGCATGTTAATGTTCTGTGTTTTCTCTTGCACCAATTAGCCCGGCAAGCACAGAAGCCAAATCTTTCCTGCAGGTGCATAGATGGCCTCAGAGGAGAAATGCCATGAACCTCTCCTTACTTTGTTCTCTTTGTTAGTTTAGGAGTATGAACAATTAAAACTGAAGAGGTCTTTCCTTTTCATACAGAAAATGTATTCCAAACGCAGGGCCTGGCGAGAAATTTTCCTCATTCTATTCAGTTTGGCTGTGTTAATGAACAGAGTATAATCTAAGTGAAAAGCTGACAGCCCATCCAGGTTGCTGTGGTCACTGCTGCTGCTGAGGAGGAGGAACACCCAGCACTGACCTACACTGAGCTAAGGAACTGAACACTAAAATCCTCCTGTTAGGAAAAGTCATCTCTTGTCAACATTGGAGATCTCAAACGAGAGCACAGAAAAACTTCTGGGCTATTGTCCTCTGTTTATTTTTGCAGCCTAAGCTGCCACTCTGATTCAGGATTAGTGTTTATCCCAAAAGAGAAAATGGTGCAGAAGAATCTGTTACAGCTACATGGGGCTGCGAACAAAGACAGGCCAATATGCTGCGTTGCCTGCATTTAAAGCAATCATAAGTGAACAGCCTCCTCACATGCAAGGAGCAGCTCATTGTCAGAAAGATGAGTGCTGAGGCTGCAGGGAGTTCCAAGGCAGCAGCATCTCCACACACAGCTTTGGATACAGCAGAAGGCCCCAGGAAATGTGGGCTCTCTCCTTGTGAGTGCAGCTGAGAGTAACACCTGAAGGGCTGAACTCTCATCGGCTCAGAAACAGTGCTTTCAAGCACCACCACACAGCACCTTCTTTCAGAGCAGTGCAGACCGTTTGAGGCAGAGCCTCAATAGCTGCTGAGGGCAGCAGAGGCACAAAGGGCAGCTCTGGGCACTGCAGCAGAGCCCCACAGCACACAACTCCCACAGTGCAGCTGCGGGGCTCAGAGGATTCAGAACTGTGGCACAGCCTCATCATCAGCAGAGGGGTGAGACAGCATGGAAAGATTCATAGAAGGGAGAAACCACTTCATGGTTTCAGAAAGCAGATGAGAACAAGCTGTTATCCTTAGGCGGGGAGCAGACTAGGCCTTCAGGTGCAAACTGAAGGTTTAACTCCTACTGAAACGCCAGAGCACTTCGAGATGTGGGGACTAGAACTTTCAGCTGCATCACTGTGAAAAACAGCCACTGCATGGTACAAATGAGAACCTATTTCCAAAGGTGTAAATCAGACTCCACTGAGCCCCAGGCTGCTCTCTTTAAGCTCCTCCTGCTATTGAAGCTCCTTAAAGAATGGGATAATTCTCTTTACTTCACGTTGTGCATTGTTGACAGATTTACAGACTTCAGGCCATGAAGGACTTAATGGGTACCCAGGAACTCTTGGGTAACATGTAACCTGTCCCATTTTCTATGCCCGTGGCAAAGTGCCCTGCAGTTTCCTGCTGGAATGCTGCTAAAATAGAAGGGAAATTTTTTCCTGATGAATCAGCACAACCGGTATCTTTTGCTTGTTTTATCTGGCTGAGTAATTTCTGCCTGGGAGGGAGAAAATTGTAGTCCTGTGAAACATCCATGGCCAAACATCAGCAGACCCCAGTGGGTGACTCTGGGTGACTTGGAAACCAAATATCAAGACCGTTTCTAACTTCCCCTTCTATCTCCCAGCTCTTGGTTAGACGCTGCTGACCGCTGAGCTGCACAGAGCATCCCTGCAGCCGCAGGGCAGCAGCGCACCCAGTGCCGCCGGTGCCACATCGCCGCCTAATCGCACCGCTGCCCTCCGTGCTGCGGCGGTTCGGTGACCGTGGGCAGAGCCCATTCCTTGCAAAGGGACGCTGCTGTTGTGTCTGCTCGGCTCCGAAGGCTCTGCGCACCGATCTGCCTGGGATCAGCAGGCCGAGGGGTGGATGGCAGCGTCGGGCCGCGGTGCGCCGGGACAGCCGGCACGGCTCGGCTCTGGTACGGCTCCGTGCGCGGCGCTCGGCTCCGGGTGGGACGGGGCCTTTCTTCTCTGCCTCTGCGGAGGATCTGGCAGGGTCTGAAGGACAGAACCGTTTGTTATCTTTCAAAGGGAGCGAAAGGAAATGTTTTCCTACAGCACAAGGGGTAAGGTCGGCACCCGGTTGATTAACGCGATTGGAATCTCCTCCCCCGTCTGCCTCGGGAGCAGCGCTCTGTAGCGGCGGTGCGGGGCTCCGCGCAGAGCTGCAGGGACAGCGCGACCAAAGTCCCGGCACGGCACGGAACGGCTCGGCCGCACGCTCGGGCGGCGGTCGCTGGTGCAACACGGGGGCGCAAAGGAGAGGCCAGGCCGAGCCGTGGGGGGTTGCTCAGGGTTTTCTCCATGCCGCAGAGCGAGCGGTGCTGCGCTCCGTGCTGCGCTCCCTGTGAACCAGTGGAGTTTGTTCCGGCTTTGCATCCAGAGCCAAAACTGGGAGAAAAGCCCAAGCGGACGTAAGAAGCGTTTTGTTACTTCTGCCGCCCTGGCGCCAGCTCGGAGGTTCTCAGGGAGTCTCACAGTGCGTGAGATCTCCGAAATCCGGTCACTCGCAGTCACTTTCACAGAGAGCTGCGGGTTCCGTGCGAAGAGGGGCCGTAACAGCCCGGCCGATGGAAGCTCGAAGTTTTCACAACGCTGCTGCGTGCCGACACCGCGCGAAGCCGCGGACCTGCGGGGAGCAGCTCGTTCCGACCCGCCGTGCCGCTGTCACCGCCCCGTCCCCTCCTCGCAGAGCTCGATGTCCGCCCGCCCCTCCCTCCCACCGGGAGCCCCGCGGTGCCGACCGACCTCAGCCTCTCCGCGGCGTTTACGTGAAAGGTCGGCATCTGACTCATGACTCCAATGCGGTGGTATTTTTGGCTGTGTTTTAATCATTTTCCCCTCCATGTCTCATGCGCTGCCTGCGAGAACTTCTTGGCCTCCCAATTATGGTGAAAGTGGGTGATTAGCGATAGACGAACTCAGGAACTATTTTGGAATGATTGGCAAACTCCAAATGCAGTCCAACAGTACGAATTGCTCATTTATCATCCCCACTCTGGTGCTGTGTGTATCCCAACGATGGAATAAATATTGGACCAGCAGTCCCACGCTGTGGCTGGAGGGCAGAAAGCACGAGAGCTCACACTTGTCTGCTATGATTTTTTACCTTAAAGTCATGGGGCTTAATATTAAATTTGCCAACGCAAAAAGAAAGGACAAATCCCACTCATCACTAGACATTAACTTGAGGACTCCTTTCCATTTACAGTGAAAGAACGAGCACTTTCCTGTACCCTGAAGACAACCCCATGCTCTTGCTGCTTCAGCTATAGGCATTCCAGTCCAGATCACATGAACTCCCACATGTCTCTGACATCTAATTCGTGTTCCCCAGTCTAGACCCATCATGCCCAGCTATTTCACTCCTGAGACCACAGCAATTTAAAAAATGTGTTTCCTCCGCAGCACTTTTCTCTCATCCTAACATTGTCTCTTCTGCCTTGTTATTCAGCATGTGTTAATTCATACTCAGCACTCTTGTGAAGCAGAGGCATTTCTACCATTAACTTCAGTTTACGGGAAGGGGAGAGCTGAGAAATTCAATGATTTGCTGAAGGTACAGAGGTAGAACCAGACAACAAGGGAGTACGAGCTGCAGGTCCATCCACCTGCACCCCATCCTTCTCTGAGCAGCCAATAGAGCTCCACACTGCACTGTGCTCACATCTCACCTTCTATATTTCCACACAACCTTTTAAAACAAATTCTGCGGCCATTCGAGTGTCATAACAGTAAGAGAACCCTTCCTTCCCTCCCTCTTCTGCCAGGCAGACCCACAGTAACATTTGAAGTGAAAGAAGCCTTCCATCAGCTTGAAGACGCCGTTCTGTGTTCAGCCGTGCTGTGGGGCTCCACCTCCCACATGTCCGGTGTGGAGCCAGCCGGTACCCGCACAGCTCTGCCCCCAGCAGGGCTTTGTGTGCCCGGGGAGCAGCTGTGAGCACTGAGCAGCACGCCGAGGTGCAGCGATAACGTCGTTCCCCAACACCAGCACGGCTCTGACATGCAGAGGCGGTATCTGCCGGCTTCCCAGAAGTGAAGCTTTCTCAGCTGTTTTTATTTTTGCTGAGTGACGTGTTGGACAAATAGGAGCAGTTCGCTGTGCCCCAGCTGTCACAGGGCCGAGTCGCACAGAGCTGCCGACTGTGCTTGACGCTGGAACAAACAAGTGCTGCCTCTCTGCACTCAGCGCGTATCTGTGCTGGATGCTGCATATACTGGAAAACGCGTATCAGCTCATAGAGGCCTGGATTGCCAAAAGGCAGAACCCAGGTTGAGGATGTGCCAGTAAGGGTGTTTCTGAAGATCTGCACAAGCTCAGTCGGCAAAGAATAACCCTGAAAAACTGTTTGTACAGCACTTTGATTTGTACCCATAGGATGCTGTAGTCTTCAGATGCAACCCGAAGACAAAGCAGAGCGCATGCAGCAGGTTAAGGCACACACTTCTCTGATATAAACATCACATCTTATTAATTCAGACTTGAAGCGAACTGTCACATTTCACAACAAGGTCACTTCTTTCCTTCCCTGCTTCTCATTTGAGTTTGGGTGTTATTTTTCTATTGAATTTTGCAATGTCGTTTTGATGCGCGCTTATTGTTCCAAGAAATGTATCAGAGCTTCCTTGCAGCACGAGGTATGACTTCATTTGATCAACTGACTGAAGGCTGGGTGGAATTCATGACACTTCTCTGATAGTCAGCACTCACTGGTGAGGAACAGGCTGGGCTGCGGTCAGTGCCTGGCCCACGTCCGGAACAGTGAGGCCCAGAAAACATCGGAGTGCTTTTCTGGGTCTGACATCCACCAACGCGGCGAAGAACTTGAGATACCTTGTAGTTAACTGAAGACCCTGAACTGCAGTGAAAGGAAGGTCTGTGCCGGCACCTTCAGGCCATAGAGGCAGAGGGGAAGCAGAGCCTCCACCGCCCGTCCTCCCCAGCCAGGTGCGCAGACCGCAGGCTCGGTTCGGCAGCGCCCCCGCAGCGACCTCGGTGCGGCGGCCCGCAGCGCCACCTGGCGGTCATGGCGGGGAGGTGACACCGAGCGGAGGGCGAGAGGGGAGGCGGCCGCGCTCGAGTAGCGGAGCACCTGAAGACCTTCAGGATGATTTTCAGTTTCCACGAAGTAGAAAAGCGTTCCTCTGGAGCGCCTGTGCCTCAGACGCGGTCTTCCTGCGTGGGTAAATGCTGAAGAACCCTCTCCAGGGAAGTGAATCACGCAGCTCCAGCCCACCGGGGTCAGAAGGAGACCATCCCGCAGAGAACTGCCCCCCAAGTGCCAGGCGAAGGATGTAACGGCACGCTCTTGGGACAAGCAGAGGCACAAGGACAGCTCCATCTCTGCCTGCGGATACCCACGTGCCCGGTGGGATCTCAGCTGACCAAGCCCCCAGCACACTCTGGTGGGAGGAAACTCCCTTTGTCCTCATTCAAGTTACCAACTTGCTAAGCACGCTGCCTCTTTGCAAAGCAAAGGGGAAAAACGTGGG